AGGGAGAGGGAGAGGGAGAGGGAGAGGGAGAGGGAGAGGGAGACTTCCATCCACTGTTAAAGGCTAGAGCTGAGCCAGTCCAAAGCCAGGAGCTTCCTCCAGATCTGTCATATGAGTGCAGGGGCCCAAGCCTTGGGCCATCCTTTGCTGCTTTCCCAGGCCCAGCAGCAAGGAGGCTAGACAGAAAGTGGAGCAGCAGGGACTGGAACCAGCACCCATATGGGTTGCCGGTGCTGCATGCCAGGACTTTAACCCGCTGCACCACAGCACTGGTCCCACAAATCTTTTTAAAGAAATTTTCATACAATCTAAGGAAAAGCCAACATAACCATTAACGAGTAACCATTAAAGAATCAGATAGCTAGGAAAAGGGAGCAAGGGCCCAGGCCTTCAAATTTGCAACCTTTTGCCTCCTCAGAAAGAGGCTCTTAAGTGGAACACTGAGCCTCTACCATAAACTGATGCAGGGTGTGGTGAAGGGGGGAAAGGAGTTCAAAGGTTTCTACTTCCACAAACATCAAACATTTCCCTAATCCTAAAAGTGCTTTCTAAAGATTTATTGGGGGTAGGGGTTTCCTGCTAGGAAGTATGGATACTACAACACGAAGCACCAAGAAGCCCCTAATCAATGACTAAAATTTACACCCATGATAATGATCTACTTTATTTGAATAAAATTTATCTTTTCATTTTTAATACAGGATAATAGTATATATATATTATATATATATATTATTAATGTCTCCATAGAGGGTGTAGTAATGTTTGAAATGTTCAATACTTTGTAAGTATATTACACAATTTAAGTACTACTGACCCCCGACAATTAATTTCCTAAATGGGATGTGAATTTCTAAAACTTAATTTGCTTCCCCAATGATCTCTGGTCTAGTTAAATCTTAAGTGCTCTATAGAATAATGCTGTTATAATCTACTCTCTATGCACGAACACCAATTTCTTCTCTGGAACACCCCAATTCCACAAGAAGGATCAACACTGTCCTATCACTAAAACACTGATGTCAAGGTTAATTCCTCCCACTCAACTTTCCCGTTAACCAGTGGCAAGACATAGGGGTTCCTCCTCTGTAACAGCGCCCTCTTCTGTTCCCAAGGCCACTGTTCTGCTCCATCTATTCCCATATTCCCATCTAGATTGTTTCTGTAGTTTCTTCACACCACCATTCCTCTAGTATGAGTTCTTCTGACTCTAATCAATCTCATTCCATGAGTCTCCTTACTGTATATGTCATTCATCAGCTCAAAGCAGGAATAAGCCTCCATGATCTACATCGCGAAGTGTAAATTTCTTTGACTGGCTCAGGCCATATCAATATGACCCTGACTGTTGCTCTAAATGTTTGTAAGAGTGTTCATTGTTATCCTACATTGCCCCTCAACTCCAAAGAGTTCTACTTACCTCCTCAACTCCTCACCTTCTCACCTGACTCAAGACACTAAATGGATTTAAGTGGATTCTCGTGCTTGATGCATTCATCTGCTGGAAATTCATATCCAAGACAACTCTAACTCTGCTCCTATGTCAAACCTCCCAGATCAACTAGGTCACACTGATGAGTCTCACCTAAACTTCAGGACATGACAATGCTTTGGTACCAAATGCTAGACAAGATGATGATATTTGTTCAAAAGCCTTTATTTTTTTAACTTGGCTTGTAAACTCCTTGAAGGAAGGAAAAATGGCTTACGCCTTTTAAGACGACCTATAGCTACTTTGCAAACTCAAAAATTACATAAGGAAGATGATAAAGTCAATGGAATCAGCCATTGATATACATCATAGGTTAGTGAGTCTGAAACTTTCAGTGTATGTAGGATGATGGCTAAAATTCCATGTATATTCCCTTCACCCAAACTCAGCATTTGGTTCATCTCAGGTAAGGGGAATAAACTAAAGACTTCCAAGGAATTCTGATGCAGCTGGCACACAGATAGTATTCTGAGAAACACTGTCATTGATTAAATTGAAACAGTAAACAAAAAAAAGACAAGTCTAAAGTATGCAGAATTATAAAGGATATAAGATGAAAATCTGACATTTCAAACTAGTTGCCATTACTAGGAAGCTGTTTTAGATATTCAACACAAACTATAAGTACTTTTACTATGTTACCTTTAAAAAGCTACTTACTTTAAAGCAATTAGTACTAATATTAAGCTAATGTGCTTTTTATATTTAAGCTGTCGATGTAGGATTATTTACAGTTATTAATATAAAACAAAATACATCATTCAATAATACTTCTAGGCTATTTACTTAATTGACACAAGACTGTTAATCTTTAAAAAATTTTGTCAAGTTCTATCAACAATGAAAACACTTGCAATGTAAAATATGCTCTCCATGCATTTATTAATCTCAAAATATGTCAAGATCCAGATACGTATGGTCCTAAACCAACTGGTCACAAACCAACTTTTAAAATTGAACTCCTTAACTCCAATCAGAATGAATTCTACTTATTCTTATATTGCAAATGAATAGATGTAGGCAATCTAGTGCTTATTCTAGGTTTTAAAATTTTCTTCAATTTAATGACAATTTAAAATGTTTCCTCTTTTTTCCATATCATTCCAGTTAAATTTTACTTTAGCCTGTCTTACTTTTCTGACATTAACCAATCTACACTAACATCCTTCAGAGTAACATTTTAGGACTTTTCAGTGAACCATGCAACCACAAATAATTAGAAAAAAGGAACCCAGGAACATGAAGATCTTGACTCCACATGTAATTTCATATCCATTTCTTAGTATGGCTTTGGGTGCAGGGTGAAGGACTGAATGGCTTAACCTTGGTTAGTATTTTTAAATTTTTAAAAATATTTTGAGTTAAAAAATACCCAAACTACCAATATGTAAATTTCCAAAATTTGCATTTTTTGAGATTATGTATATTTAGCAACTTCTATTTGTCTTCCTAAATATCTTCTTAGATGTATACAATTCACAGAAAATTAAAAATTCCCTCCTTCCTAGTTCTTCTCTAGTGCTTAAGTCTAAATGAGACACTTCTATAGGCCACTAGGGAGAGACATGGAGTATTTGGATCAGTCTTTGGATCAGCTGCATGTCAAGACAGCAGGACATAGCAGTTTCACCAAAGGAATAATGTCACATGCCCTGTCAAGGCTCTATTCACTCACTGGGGAACACTTCAAAATAGCAATACTACAATGCTGTAGTCTTTGGAGCTCACAGACTTCATATGATGTTTCATCACATGGGAAAAGAACCCATATCACACACAGAGTATCAATCCATATTGACTATGCAAAATTTAAAATATAGTTAAATATGGAAAGGAAACTTTGCAAACAAAACAACATAAGATAATTCAATGTCAATGGGAATATCTGATGACATCATTAATGAAGATAATTTTGAAAATTAAAATTAACTAACCTTATTATCCTCCAATCCCACATCTATACATGAAATGCCCATTACCACATGCACTCAGGGGCTCATTCATTCAAGTTCACTCCAGCAATGAATGATTCTCATACACCTTATTGGATTATCAGGAAATGCTTCTCATTTTACTTCTTCACACTTCCTTACTGTAAACCAAAGTCACTATAGGCAATAGAGAAGTGTTGCCTTACTAAGTCATACTTCTACATTTGACTTTGCAAAAACAGAAAGTGAATAGGTACCTAAAAATTCAAGGACTCAAATTACAGGAAGTGTCACTGAATCCAACACTACATTTTGCAATATTTAAGGATAGAAAGATATTATCATTGCTATAGTTACAGCAATATAAGTATTCACCTTGAAAATATTTTTTTCAATTCTCTGAATGCACTCTATTCTATAACTTAATATGTACATTGCTTTTTTTACTCAAACGGTTCTTGACTCCTATATTGAACTAAAAAACCTGACATTTTAGTTTTTCCCAGAATTTAAGTACAGAAGCAGTTCGATTATTAACAATTAGTCTTCTCAATCTTAACTGTATTTCAAAAATATATCTGGGAAGGCAATTTAATCTACACCACCAGTATATGTTAATCAATAAAGTCAACTCAAAGTTGGCATTAACACACTGCTGGCACTTCTCCAACTGCCATGGGTCGAAATAAACCACAGCAGCCTAGTTCCCAGCTAGGGGTACTGCAAGTGTTTGAGCTGAGACAACTCACAGTATGTCCGATATAAAACTTCTTTAGGAGTTCAAGAGCTTTCTTAAGCATACCTTTTATCATATGTCAGGTATGAACTTTTAGGTAACAACTCTTTGAGAAGAGTCGGTAGAAGCAGGCATAAACATGATAACTCTTTTTTGAAAATCAGAGTACCTCAAAAGTGTCTTAGCAACATTTTCCTGAAAGGACTAAACACTTATTTAACAAAAACAAACCAAAAAACGCCAACAAAACCTCAATTTTTAGTATGTCATCAATGGTTTTGGAGATGCAAGGTTGAAAATGACCTTGTTAGATTACGACCGATAGGACTCTAACCTTCTCTTAAATCTTAAGCTTGACCAACTTCAGGTTCTTAAGTCTTAAGCCCAGTAACCAAATTCCCTTACACTTTATTCTGAAATCGCACATAGCGTCCTAAGAACGCTCCAGGAGAACAAGCCTCTGTTGAGTGGTCTTCTGCGCCTCAGAAGCTGCAAGGAGTCCCAAGAACCAGCTGGGCAAAGCAAAACGCCCTTGCGGATCAGAAGGAACTCATGCTGTGCCCAGCCGCGCAAAGTTCCGGACCCCCTCGCTGCACCAGCAGAGCCCACTCTGAAACAGACTGCGGGGGTCCCTATCACCAGGGAGCCCTCAGGAGGGCCCTTCTAGGCGGGTAACTTGCTTTCCTATCAAAGATCAACTTTCCATTGAAAAAGAAAAGTTTGCCGCGATGCGGCGTGCTCTGAGCTAAGTAACTTTGGCTATCCCATGCACCCAAGGTTAAACAAGTACGCAAGTCCTCGGCGGCACCCAAAGTCGGAACCCGCAGGATCGCACCCCTACCTTGGCCTCCTCAGCGTCCTGCTCCACGTCGGAGAAGCCCAGTCCCGACTCGAAGGCGGCGGCGGCGGGCGCCTCGCGCGGACCCGGCAGCAGCGCAGCGGCGAGCAGGGAACACGCCAGAGACAAGAAGCCCAGCAAGTGCATGGTGGAAGGACCGGGAGCGGGGAATCCGGTCCGCTGGCGGGGGGCAGGGGTGGGGCGTGGGCGCCCCTGCGAGGCTGAGGTCCCCTCCTGGTCCCTTTCTCCCGATCTCCTACCGGTGACCCCCCTGGGCGAGCCGGAGGCGGTGGGCGCGAGTCCGGGGCTCCGCGTTGCCAACTTTGCAAGGCGCTCTCCCAACCAGTGCTGGGGAAGGGCGACGGGTGTCAGGTAAAAGCCTCACAGGAAACCGGACATCCGAGCTCCCTTCATTCGGAGCCCGCCGCGAGGTGAAGCGAGGGCGAGGGCGAGGGCGGCCGGCTCCGCGCTTCGCGTGTTTGTTTTTGCTTGTTGGAAAGAGGGGGAGAAAGCGAAAACACCCCGCGATTCTCACCGCCTCCGAACCCACCAGAGCCCTCGTCCCCCTCCTCCCTCCCCTTCCCCGAACTGAGTGGAGCCGGGGAGCGGGAGAGGCGGCGGCGGCGCTGCCGGGGGCGGGAGGAGGGCGGCGGGGCGCCCGGCGGCGGCGGCGGCGGCGAGGCCCGGGAGCTCCGCGGCGCTGGAGCCTCCAGAGCGCGCGGGGCTGAGCGGCGGCGGCGGCGGCGGCGGCGGCGGCGGCGGGCGCAGGGGCAGGGCATGACTGATGCGCCCTCTGCCTGCGCTTATGTGAGAGAAAGCGGCCGAGGGAGGGAGCGTGCCGAGCCTGGGCCGCCCTCCCCTCTCACTTTCCCTCGGAAGCTGTCTCCCTCCAGCTCTCCGCGTCCCGGGCCTCCTCCCCAGCGGCCCCACCTCCCCGCAGCCCCTTCTCTCTCGGCCTTCTCCTCCTCTTCCTCCTCCTCCTCTCCCCTGCCGGGAGCCGCATTGGAGGTGCGAGTTGATCTCGGGGCTGGCGTTCTGCAGGACCAGCTTCAGAGGCGACCTGGCAGAGGTGGGAGCGGCGGGGACAGTGGGGACAGTGGGAGAGAAGAGAGCAGACCCTTTGTCCTTTGCAGCCCAGGTCCCTGGGCTTCATCCTGGCTTCTCTGGCCCTCAGGTTCTGGTCCAAAGCGTGGAAACAGCCCGGGAGTTCTCGAGTTCCAAGAGAAACCCAACGCTTTGGAGCGAGACCTTGATGGGACCTTGTAGTCCTCAGTGGCCCCCTCTCCCCCTCTGGTTGACTTCAAGTTGCTGCCCAAGCAGAAACTACAGGGGTTCTCTGAATGCGGTGTAGGCTAGAGAGATAGGTGCTGTGGATCACAATGGGATACTAAGCTTTTGACTGATGGGGAGAATGGTCAGAATCCTTACAGAGAGAGAAAAAAAGGAGACGTGGGGTCAGTTTCTGCAAGAAGTTGGGTTTACAAGAAAAGGGGTAAAAGAGACACTTGAAGGATGAGACATCTGCAGCAAAGAGACTGCATTTCCCTAGCTGGAAAAACATCCAGGGCCAGCCCACGGTACTGGAGGCCTTGGCCTTCCCCCTCCCCAGGGCGGACTGGGTAGACTGGAGCGCCTACGGTGTGCAGAAAATGAAGTCTCACAGTTACTCCCATTCTCTTTAAAAACACTGATCTTACAGGTTCCTGAAATCTTAGATGGAGAAGTGGCTTTCAGAGACAGGGAACCCTATGTGGGTTCTGCCCATCCCCTTAATGGATGGCCCACATTGCTGAAAAGTGTTTCCTTCCATTTACCCATTGCTTTTGATTCCTGAAGTTTTACATAAGGAATGTAATCTAACTTCCACGTGTTCAGTTTGTCAAATTTTTGAAACTATCGGTCATGTTCTCCCTATGGAAGCTGTCCTCCCATCTAAATATCTCCCTTTCTGCCATATGACAGCCCCAACTTTCCTCATTGACCATACTGTAAATTTTTCGACGTTCATGAAGTTTGGTGCTCAGAGCATGGGGCAGTGTTTAAAGTGTTCCAGTGAGCAGGCAGAAGAGGGTCATCCTTGTCCAGACAGCATGCCTTTGTTGATGTTACTCTGGATCAAGTTTATTTTCTGGCAGCTAAATCACAGAGCTGACTCACACAACACTTGAAGTCAACTGAATTCCTCAAGAACTTTTCATGTGTACTGTTATTTAGTCACGTCTGCATTACCCTGTGTCTGTGGAGTCAGTTTACTGTACCCAAGATTTGAGCTTGGCCATTTATGAAATTCTGTCCTGTTCTGATTCTGTCCTGTTCAGTCCATGTCTACAGCTACATATTGAGGTATGTTGGGATCCTGACACTGTCAATGTATTACTTCTGTTTTCCTGCTGTGTTTGTATTTGATTAGTTTGCTGTATTTATCTCCAAAGATGTATAAAGCTGTGACAACAGAAGAGCTAAGGACAGACTGGGATTGATTTACATCGAAGTGAGTGTTTTCTTTTAACCATTTCCTTTGTCAGTGGTTCTCAACATTGCACTTGGAAGCACAAAAGGCGATTTCAAAAACAGAAGATTAAGTGCACCATCAAAGATCCTGGTTAATTGATGATTGGGATGAGTCTGGGACAACAGGATCTTATCAGGAACCCAAAACTGAAGCCCAGGCGTTCCCAACACCTTGGGAACCTAGCATTATGTGAAGACTGCAAAATCAATAAAGTCAACATTTACTGCAGTAATATTTAAATACAACACTAATCACATGCAATTTTTCCTCTCAAGAACGTTCTTATTACTATTTTAAATAAAATTCTGACAAAAGATAAAGCTGAGTGACAAAAATAAACAAAAGAAGTCTCCGAATTAGTTGAATTAGTTGTTTAAGGATGTCTTAAAAGTAATAAGGGAGTTGCTAGGAACTTTTTTTTCTTTATATTTTTCTTTACCACCTGGAAAATACTTTGTCCTACCAGCTGGTTTTAAGTCTTAAAAAAATTTCTTTACAGGTTTGCTAGTTCATCACTAGCTTCATGCAAGACCTATTTTACAACAGTACTTCTAAATTGGTGTTTGTTTCAGAGAACACATTCCACAGTCAGTGGTTACTGAGGAAAAAGAGAGAGTAGGGCCCCGGCCAGAATAACACCTTTGGTTTATTTTACACATTGGTTGGCGTTTTCTTTAAGACAAATAGTGAAAAATAGACCTACTGGCCAATGCTAATATTCATTCTGATAATCTTTAAGTTATTGAATTCTGATTTCAGTTACGTCTTTACTTCTTACTACTTTGGTTTTACTTTGTTGTTCTCTTTCAGATTTTTTTATTTGATTGCTCTGACCATTTGTTTTTAGTTTCTCTAGTTTCTGATTAACATATTTTAAAAAGTATTAGCTTTGTTCTAAATTCTGCTTCAGTGGAGGCATGCATTTGGCTTGGCAGTTAAGATGCCAGTTAAAAGGGACAGCACTGTAGCATAGTGAATAAAGCCACCTTCTCTGGTGCTGACATCACATAGGGGCGCCAGTTTGGTTCCAGCTGTTCCCCATCCAATCCAGCTCTCCGCTATGGCCTAGGAAAGCAGTAGAGATGACCCAAGTCCTTGGGACCCTGTGCCCACATGGGAGACCTGGGGGCTCCTGGTTCTTGGCCTCTGATCGGCCCAGTTCCAGCTGTTGTAGCCATTTGGGGAATGAACTAGTAGTTAGAAGACTTCCTGTCTGCCTCTACCTCTCTGTAGTGCTGCCTTTCAAATAAATAAATAATTAAAAAAAAAAAATGCCAGTTAAAATGCCTGTGTCCTGTATCAGAGTGCCTGGGTTCAATATCCACAGAGTTCCTGACTCTAAGCTGTTTACTAAAGCAGACCCCCGGAGGCAATGGTGATAGCCCAAGTAATTGGATTCCTGTCACTCACATAGGAGGCCTGGATTGAGTTTCCTTCTCCCAGCTTCTGCTTGGCCCAGTCCAGTTACTTGGAGAGTAACCAGTAGATGGAAGCACTCTCTCTCTCTCATTCCCTCTGTCTAAAATAAATAAATACATAAATAAAAATAAATTTTGCTTTTTTATGTTTGTCAGTTATGATGTGCTTTCTTAGGCAGGCAGTTGAAAATATATCTTAATTTATTATTTTTATTTAATAGAAATGAATACTTGTCTTTTTAGTTTATAGATTGAGTTTTACTTTTAATTTTATTACATTTAGCTATATTATAAGTGAGGTTGATTATAGAAATGCTTTGAGGCTTTCTTTTTGGCCATGGATATGTTTGATCATTGCAGCTAATTCTGTGTGTACTCCTTTAGTTGTTTCAATTTTTAGAATATTAATTATAATATTCAAATATTTCTTGTGAGAGACTTGTCAAGATCTCCAGTTATAATTGTTGTATTTTTTTAAACATACTTTGATGCTGTGTAATTTTGATATAATTTTTACTAGTAAAACCAGCTTTTTTAAAAAAATATTTATTTATTTGAAAGGCAGAGTTACAGAGAGGCAGGGGCAGAGAGAGAGAGAAAGAGATTGAGAGAGAGAGAGAGAGAGAGGTCTTGCATCTGCTGGTTCACTCCTCACTTGGCTGCAGTGGCCTGAGCTGTGCTGATCTGAAGCCAGGAGCCAGGGGCTTCCTCTGGGTCTCCCACAAGAGTGCAGGGGCCCAAGGACTTGGGCCATCTTCTACTGCCTTCCTAGGTTATAGCAGAGAGCTGAATTGGAAATGGAGCAGTCAGAACTCAAACTGGCGCCCATATGGGATGCTGGCACTGCAGGCAGCAGCTTTACCTGCTATGTCACAGCACAGACCCCCAAATAACCAGTTTTTACCTTCTGATATTTCTATTTGAAATTCTATTTTCTGGCATTAGAATCTTACATTCTGAGAATAGAGATCATCTGTGAACATGACATAAGTGATGTCACTCATGTCGACATGGCTTGGTTACTTCTGGGAAGTTTTAGCCTGGGGAAGACAGGTTGCAAACCAGTTCTTAAATTTAATGCTTACTTCAGGAAATGCTGACAAATCACTATAGTGAAGACAATAATATTTTCACTCTGGCAAACAGCCTGTTTATCAATTACATTTTACTTATCAAGGCTCTTATTAACGTGTCAGCCAATCATAAACTGTTAAATCATGAACTTTGCCCGTTCCTATTCACTTCTACACTCTGAAAGGCACACCTTAACTACTTGAGTTCATATCCTAAAGTATTTCAGTTATTCTATTTCTGGTCATTTGGGACACCACTGTCAATCTGGTGTTCTGCTTTACTCCAATAAGTTCTACTAAATGAAAATTTCATTTATTAAAAGGTCTTCTGCTGATATTTTGGGGAATTCAGCAACTTAAGAGAATCCCACCCCACCCTACCCACACACACCCACATAGACACACACACAATCCTTTTGATATTTCCCTTCCAGCTCAAGCCCAAGACCCTCAGTTCAAACCATTAAGGACTCCTGAGTTCCCTTGCTTAGAATCTCTGTGACTGCAAAGATAGGATAAGTCTCCCATTAGATTTCAGTCTCCATTTCCCTTTATCAAACTAGCAATTGCTAAGTGTGTTTTCTTGCCTAAGATTCACTTTCAGGAATCATTTGATCATGTGGTTGAACTTAAAACATCTACCCCTTGTAGAAACCTGTTA